CCCCAAAACCCCAAAACCCCAAAACCCCAAAACCCCAAAACCCCAAATAATAATATTTATTTAAAAATAAATAAAAGTTCTTAATGGACCCCTCTTCAAGCAAAGACAATTATGATGCTGATTATAAGGATACAGCAGAGTTAAATACAGATTTTACTAAAAATAGATCTACTGAGGTTTATCACTACGAGGCTCCTAACCTAACCTCTATGCTGTACGAATATACCAATAAGGAACAAGAATATATTAACAGATGTTTTCGGACTGGAAACTATACAACACTTAGAGAAATGCCTGACAATTTTGTTGGGTGCACTCTTTTTAAGAATGACGGTTCTAGTAGATTCAGCAAAGGTCAGCCTCTGTTTGGATCTGGCATGGGTCAGAAAAACTTAGACTTAAAGCAGAGATCAGTTCTTGATAAAGACTCTAAGAGTGATCCTAATGATAAATTTAGTAATATGACTGATGACTATGATGCATTTCTTAAATCTTTAAAGGAAGAGAAGAGAGGTGCAAAAGAAAAACAAATGAAGCTGCATAAAGAAGACTTTAATCAATACAAAGGTACGTTCTTAGTTTCGTTAGTTCCTTTAACAGTAATTTTCTAACTCTCTAATAGCGCATCCTAAATATAAAGGAAAGTATGAAGATCCGTTCAGAACTGATACAGATAGCAAAGAGAAATATCACTTTCCCTTCTTAAATGAGTCCGATCCTTACGAGGCTGCTAAAGACGAGGTATACAGGAACAAATGGTTAGAAGATAGTAAGAATCTCTACGGTGAATTTAAACCTTCTTACAAAGAGACATCTCTTAATATCCCAGGAAGAACACTGTTTATGGAAATCTTGGAAGAGGTAAAGAAAGTCCTTCTTGCTGACTGGAATGATGTCAATTTCGTTATCGGAACTAACCCTCAAGAAATGATAGAAATAAAATTTGAATGAAATACTGAGGACACAGAAAAGGGATTAAAAATTTATATGAATAATTTTATATCAGCACATACTGTTATGAGAAAGTATGGACTAAGAAGAGTTACCCATTTCTGGGGATATAAGGAAGACTACTATATTTACTACATGGTAGCTCCTCCTTGGGTTAAATTACCAGTTAATGATGTTGTTAATTACTGGAAAATTAGCCAAGTACATACACAAGAAACTGAAACTTCCGAACCATCATTTTCTAGTGATGAAGAAGAGCTATCAGCTAAGAAGAAAATCAGGTACAGAATTAAGAATACTGCTAAAGAGAAGAAACCTCTGCTTTATAGTAGAACAGTTGATATGTAACAGTAATAGATTCAATCCTAATAGTTTTAAAAGGGGTTTTGGGGTTTTGGGGTTTTGGGGTTTTGGGG